CCTGTTATCTTCTCCTAGTAATGCCGGAAAAATACGAAAACGTTGTAATGGCACTAGCGATAACAAGCCAAGTGGCTCAAGTGGCTCAAGTTCTCGAACAAAACAACCCGCGCTGGAAAAATTTCTGAAGCATTTGCCGTTTCACACGGCCTAACCCAGTTAGCAGAAGAGCCCAGAAGTATTCTCGTTTCTCAACAGGCCAACTAACTCGACTTGATCCTTATCACTAACCCCGATACTTACAGGATCGATGTGTTTGCACTTTTGGGCAAATCAGACCGCAAACTGATATCCGCTCACACTCCAATAAGACAACATGTGCGTCCGAGCGGTTTAGAAAAAAGAAACGCCGCATACTGGCTTAGAGACCAATGCGAAAAAACTGGATGATCCTTAACGGCTGCCAGAAATGTTTACAACCGTATAACCAATGAAGCTAAGGAGTTAAACAGCCAATAGGTGCGTGATCAACTTTTGGACTGCCCGAGTGGATCAAGATTCTTTTGGTCTTTTGTCAGGACCATAGGAAAAACTTTCACGTCTTCATCCTTTCCACCTTTAGTTAAAGACAATAATTCTATTTTAATATCGTCATATAATAGGAAGAAGCTGATCTCTCTGCCAAACAGTTTGCATCCAATTCCACGATGGAAGACAATGGCAGAGCGCCACAGGTATTGCCACACATTGGTTCTTACATAAACAACGTTGTATTTTCCAATTCTTCTGCAACTTGACACTGGAAAATCTTGTGGTCCCAATTCCATCAATTGTCCTCAAAATTTGCGCATGAGAATTGGCTTCAGTTCTTTGCAAACTGTTTTCACTCTCTTACAGTCAAGGCGTTTTCCCGTCAATCTGAAAATGTGCCAGAGTGCAGCCCATTCCGAAAAATGCTAGAAAACCCTTCCTAGCAATTATCGTCCCAACTCATATTCGTACTTCCGGAAGGATTGGAAAAGGCAGTCAACCTCAAACAGACTGAATACTCCGACGCAAATAAGCACATCTTTAAAGAACGGTACGGGTTTCATTCTAAAATATTAACAGGGGATCTGCTGGCGTATGTAAGTCATATTTAAAACTCGACTCTCGGAAAACATGAAAAATGTAGAATTGTTACATTGGACATCTGCACGGCTTTTGATCAGATGTGGCATACAGGTCCCCTCAGCAAACTTCCATCGTATGGTCTTCCGAGCGAATTTTGTCATTGGATGGGGAGTTTTTTGGAAGGCAGGTCACTTCAAATTGCGGTCGATGGTGTTTCTTCTGATACACTGCCTATAAATTTCGGCGTTTCCCAATGCTCAATTCTGTCCCCAACACTGTTTCTGATTTTCATAAATGATTTGTTAAATGTGTCAAGAATCCCCATATACACCTTTGCTATAGATAGTTGCTTAATGGCATCTTTCTCTTCTGACAAATCGCTCACTGAAACCACTTCCACACGCTCCAGAACAGCTTCACTTTATCAGCAGTGATCTTAACATCATTAGCAACTAGAGCCTTCAACTACCTAGTCAAATTTATTGCTTCCAAAACTCAAGCAACAGTATTCTCAAATAAGAAATCTTCCGCCGATGATAACCTAGTTTTAAGGATGTCTATATAGAGAAAACCTTCCTAAAAACTATGTATTTTTTTCACATCAGCTACAGAATCTACTAAATATTTATTATGACTAAATTTATTTCCTGCAAACACATCACCATAACACAGAAATCATCGATCATTTCACAACTAACAGACTGCTAAGTATTTAACTCAGACCTTGAAGGAAGTTCTGTATCTGCAACTTTTTGGGAGGGTGGTATGCCACAGTAGGCCCATTGTGTACCTGAACGTAGGAGATGACTCTGATCTCTTCTAGGGATGGATAAGATTGGCCTAATCTGGCTGTGTGTATTGGCGAAAGAGCAGTGCAGTCACAAAGAATGTGCTCCATCGTCTTGTCTTCTTGATTACAAGCCCTAGCTTCGTGCTAAGATGTAATCTCAATAAATTTTTGTTTAACTCACAGTGGCCAGTCAAGATTCCCATTATTACGCGTAGTCTTTTCCTGGTCAACGACCGATTCTGACTCGCTAGAGCTTTATTTGGGTAGCTTAGCAGTTCCTTGGATAAGTTGCAGCCAATCGTATCGTCCCAGTGGGAGCGTTGGTAGCTCGCCATATATTTGGCCGCCGACATGGTCAGCCAGAGCATCGGCAGCCCGATTGTCTTTGCTGTAATTATGTTCTTTGATCCAGCTGACAACCACCGTGTTTTTTATCGATGCCTCTGGGTGATGGCAATGTTGTACTAGTTCTGACATGAGTCGTGGTCTAGATAGGGCTAGTACTGTTTGTCTGCACTAGGTATGCGTGGATGTGCACAATCTTGTCAGTGATATTGTTGCTGACTATCTGCACCGATAGTTATGCCAGTATTTCCGTTTGAAGGACATTTGGCATGGAGCCGAGGGCTTTAGTTAAGATCAGTTTGAGAGCCTTGGAGTCTACTCAGCGTCCCGAGCCTGTTTCAGTAATCAGTGTAGATGTTACTCACCCTTGCCACTGTGTTGTTACCAATGCCTTTCATATTGATTGCGTAATGCTTTTTGAAGACGTAATATGGTGTTGCAGAGTCCACTCTAGCTTCCAACACTATGGAAGCGAGTTTGTTGCCTCGCGTCATATGCGGGCTCTCTGCAAACCGAGCTCTGCAATTGGTTCTATACCAACAGTGCGGTCAGTGCGGATGCACAATATTGTGGTTGAAACGACCTCCTTGACATAAATGTCCAGGAGCGTCAAACAGAGAATTACTTCCAAAACTCTAGTTGGTGTGGTTTTCATTGCATCAGTTATGTTGAGGCATTTTTTGAATGTGGTCTAGTTTTCGGCTAATAGTAGTCTGTTTGGCTTCATGACCCAAGACAATATCCTCATAGGTAAGTATGGGCCTAATGGTGGGTATATAGATCCACATAATTACCTTGGGGTAGAACCCCCATGTCTTACCGATGGTACTTCTACACTGTCTATAGGAAATATAGGCTTATGGAATTCTCTTAATAATATGAGTGTTCCAAGTTAGTTTGCCATGTGCTCCCAGATATTTGACCTTGGCAGCAAAGCTTAGTTCGGAGTTTAAGAGTCTGGGTGCTGGCGGATGTACCAGTTTCCTATTTTTTGTGAATATTTTTGTGGTTAATGGCCGTGTGCAACATCTTTCTATAATTTGAAGAGTATCTTGTATACGTTCGCAGAGCGAGTTCTGGCATTTGCCTGTTTGCAAAATGACAACGTCATCTGCGTAAGCTGTTGCGTAGTGATTGTCTTTGTTTTAGGCGGACAATGAGGCTGCCCATCAGAACCATGTTAAGGGAGGTAAACTATCAATGTTCAAGAAGTGTTTCGACGGAGGCACCATACACGACTAAAAGTTGCGTTTATTATTCGTGAATGAATGACATGGTTCTGGTTTTTGCTGTGCATCCTACTCTGTACTGATTGAAGAGGTGTGGTTGGATACGCAACAAAAATGGAGTATCGGTTTTCCATGATTTGACTCTCAAACCATACTGTAGTTATGTCCCAATTTGAAGACTAACTTTATACCAAATAAATGTTTTATTGAATGCCATTTTGTACTGCTGCATCACAATGATAACTTAAAAATATATTAAATTAGAAACATTGAAGCATGTATGTACAACGATATCAGAAATGCTAACACCAAAATATACAGGGTACCTCACGAACATCCAAACAGAGGCATTTTGGGGTATGTTAAGGTCGACAAAAAAAAGCTCGGACACGTCAATTTTGTATTCAAGTTGGAAACTTTTTGACTCCATCGGTATTTCGCTAGGGTGCACCCCCTGGGTAGAGTGACTTTCACTCCTCTTTTTTAGATAGGGAAGATGAGTTGAGTGGCACCTTTTTTTAAAGGTATTTTGATTCTGGGTCGAGTGGCACCTTGTTTTAAAGGTATTTTGATTCTCGTCCCAACTGTATACTTTTTTTGAAAGTCGAATGATTACTTCTCAAGATATTCACTGTCAAAGTTGCCATAGGCTAAATAGGAAACTACCTTGAGAACTAATCATTCGATTTTCAAAAAAAAAACAGAGTTGTGACGGAAATCAAAATACATTTGAAACAAGGTATTACTTGACTCGACCCATCTACCCTATCTAAAAAAGTGGGGTGCACCCTAGCGAAATACTGGAGGGATCAAAAACTTTCCCTCTCGAAGACAAAATTGACGTGTGAGAACGTTTTTTTTTTTTTTTTAACCCGGGATCGGTCGTGATGTTAGAAAAAATCTAACATTTTTAGTTTTATGCACATAAAACTTTGAATAATGGCGTTAGGTCATTCCACCTGCCGAAGTGCCTGGACGGGGTCCTATGTAAGCTCATGGCAAATCGGCATTTAGCTGGATCAAAAGGGTTAGCCATATCGGGAAGATGAGTGAGATGTTAGTTAAATTCTAACACGCGACCTCAGCGTAATTGTACGCTGTTAGAAAAAATCTAACTACGCGACCACGATTAAAATACCAAGACTTAATTGCATTTATCAAATTTAAGTTTAAGTTTTGATTCCGAATTTTTTTTTTAGTGTTAGATAAAATCTAACACGCGACCAATCGCGTTATAGGAAGGGTACCGACTGATCCCGAGTTAATCGACCTTAAAATACTCCAAAACGCCTCTGTTTCTATGTTCGTGAAACACCCGGTATAGGTAGACTTTAATATAGGCAATATTCGTTGCTTTATTGATTCACCGTTTTTACGACCGAATGTCGCAGCTATCGAATTTACGATACGTTAATAAAGTTTTTCCCTTTTCAAAGCTTTTTGATTTTATGGGACAATTCAAAAGAGTCTCCTGGAAAAAAAGGCACACACTAGATTATTATGGATCGACGCGCCACTTTCTATAATCGTATTTTTCAATGTAATTTTTTTTCTAATTGTCCAAGAACGTAAAAAATTCTTACCCATTTTAGGAACAGGCGCACCCAATAAGTTCTCTCTACTAGGATGATTGGACTTCATAGCATTTACTCTTCGATTCTGGGCTGCCGCGGGTCCTGTCGCATTGGCAAGGCCCGTGGCAGCCCCTGACGGTGGCGCACCAGGTCCAGGTATTCTAGGGCCACGTGTAGGTTCCACCGGTAAAACTCGTCTTCGTTTTTTGGGCAGTTTTGCTCGGGCCTGCGTATGACTATAATACATAGCAAAATTTGAAACAATCACAGGCACCGGCAACGCTATCGTCAGTACACCGGCCAAGGCACAAAGGGCACCCACGAACATTCCTATGTAGGTTTTGGGTACCATGTCACCGTATCCTACGGTGGTCATTGTTACTAGTGCCCACCATAGACCTAATGGGATACTTTTGAAATCGTTGTCTGGATTCGTTTGTATTCTTTCCGCGTAGTAGACTAAACTTGCGAATATTACGATACCTGAAAATATAAAAGTTGTTTTTAAAATAATGTGATTCATTTGGGACACAGTAATTTACACAATATTGTTAGCATAGCCTCTGAAATTTTGATAGTTTCTTGAAGTAGTGCTTATTATGAATACCTATGTCATAAATACTGTTTCTGCGATTCTTTGAACCTGTGCTTTCATAATGATAACCAGTTCCCAAAATTTAGTCTCTTTAATTAGGTAACGACTATCAAAAGAATATGAATATGAGCTTCATTTCAAATGTTGAAAGAAAGTGTTGACATAATTTAGAGAAAACAAGACTCACCTAATACAAGGAAGAAAACCAACAGCGTAAGTTCCTTGGCGGAGGCTCGAAACGTCTGGATTAAAATTTTCAATCCGGACGAATGCCTGGTGAGTTTAAAAAGTCGCATAATACGTATAATGGAGAAAAACTCCATGATGTCTGCGTTTTCCAGATGCGAGGCGAATCTGCGCAGCATCAAGTCGATGTAGAAACTCGCGGTGGCGATGTAGTCGATGATGTTCACTGAGGATCGGATGAAATCGCATTTGTTCGGGCTTGTGATAAACCTGAAAAATAAATTAAAATCATTATAGAAGAAGAAAACGTAAAATCATTATAATCTAGAGTGCCTAAACATTTTTTTTTTGGCGATTCGAATTTAGTGGGTTTCTTTTCTAGAGATTAAATGTTTTCTAAGGTTTGTCTTCCAGTACCTAGACTTATTTGCTCATAGATAAAGGATGCCTTTCAGAAATGTCTAATGATTCAAAACCCAAAAATAAAAAGTGTAGGTATTAAGGAAGAAATGAGTGGAAATCTATTGTAAATATAAACAAGCATTTTGGTAGAAAATAAGTACCTATATAACTGATAAAAATTGATTCAATTTTTTCAAAGAAAATGGATGCATTGAATTTTCAAAAAATTATGGGAAAATGATTAAATTTTCATTGATTTTGCAGCATGTTCTGTTTATGAATACATAAATATTTTACGCTGCTATAATTGTTCTGGTTTTTATCATTCCGCAAAAAAATGCAGTAAATTTTGAATGGTCGTGAAACGTGGAAATAATGACTATAATTCAAATTAATGTATTGTCAATGGAGAAAATATGATTTTTCCAAATTGTGTTGAATCGAATAAAAAGTTTGACCTGGGTTCAAATCCTAGCCGAGGCGAGAATTTTTTTTATCAATTTTAATTAACATCTGCCCGCCACTAAATTTATTAACAAACTATAAACCTAATAATTGAAAATGGTTTATTACAAGTTTAAATGTTTTTCAATAAATATAAAACTGAAAAAAGAGTTTCAACTACATAGAATTCACCCAACACCCTGGTTTAATAGGCATATTTTATAAGCCACAAAAATTAGGGATGATTTTTCTACAAAACTTCTATTGAGAAAATCTTCAAATAATTGGGATCTCTACAAAGAAAATAGAAATTAATGTGTTACAGAACTAAGAAAATTCAAAAAGCTATATTTTGAACAAGAAATAGACAATAATAAAAATTAATCAAAATAAATATGGAAGACTTTGAAAAATCAAGTTAATCCGAAAGAAAAAAATGAAATTCCAGAAATAATATATATATTTTTTTTAATGATGAAAACAAACCAACTTAATATAGCAACCAAACTCAATATTTACTAGGTATATAGAAAGTAATGAGAAATTTTTCATTGAATACCCCGAGGAAACGCAAATATAATATTTAATCTTCCTTTTATTTTGGGTGTAATGATTGTTATAATATTTTAACATAGTGAATAGTATGATTTGTTTGGAAAATTTCTGGTCTCTAACGTTGAGATATAATGAAAGTTATGTTGAAAAACTAGAATCAAATAATAACTATAGTGAAATTATTACAAAATAAAAACTATTGAAAAAACTTTTTCCGCAAGGCTGTAGAAAAACTACTCATATATTAAAATTTAAGTGGATACCCAAACAGGATTTAGAATTGGTCATTCAACAGAGACAGCACTCCAACTAAGTAATTATTGAAATGTGGAAAAAAAGTTTAGTTAAAGATGAATTTGTGTTGGCTGTATTTTTAGACCTTAAAAGAACATTTGAAACAGTATTTAATACAAGTGACATAAAATGCAAAATTTTGCTGACGATACTGGCACAAGCCCTATACGTTTCGTCCTGGGATGTCACAACAGGAGCGTGACCTGGGGGCGTAGGTGGGGTTCAGGTAGAGAGAAACTCGCTTGGTATAGGTATAAAAGATAATGTATTGAATAATAAAAATGTTACCCTAGAAATAGTATCATGACGTCTCTTCTACGGAGAGACGTACTACTGATATGCCACCCTGTATTATATACACTCTGTACACTTGGTGTGACTGAAGACTGAAGCTGGGTTTGAGACAGGTCCAGAATGGCGTTTCCCAATAAAGGTAGTTTGCACTGGGACGAGACTTAGCTAGAGGGGCTCTTCCCATTTGAGGTCCTTTGCACTAGCCTTAGACTCCCGCTAATGGATTTCGGCGCGGTATTTATACCAAATCAATACTGACTCGTTGCTGCGTTCAATACTGCCAGAAGGAGCTAGGTTTGAGATAGGTCCAGAAGGGCGTTTCCCATAAAATGTAGTTTGCACTGGGAGGAGACTTAGCTAGAGGGGCTTTTCCCATTTGAGGTACTTTGCACTAGCCTTAGTCTCCCGGTAATGGATTTCGGCGGGAGAATCATATCTAGGGCATAACGCCCGCGCGGGAGTTATGAAATCCTTAACTTCCGCGCGGGAGTTAAGACCCTGGTTATGATTATCGTAACTAAGGTATTACATGGTTATAATAGTTCCAGTTCATGACAATTGCATTTTAATACCCTTTACAAAAAAAAAAGCAGAATTATACCAAAGTTTTTTATACCCATTTTATTTTCTCCTTTCGCAAAACAATTTAAACATTACGGAGCCCTTGTAATGAAATGTCCCTTTAAATATCACTTTTACTCGATTTTCCTCAGTTTCGGAGTTCCATGTGAAAATCTTCCGACCAGACGACCATGCCTTGTTTTTTCCAAATTTCTTCTTTGCCAGAGTAATTCGTATTTATGCTGAGTCAAGTCTTGAAAATGGAAATAGTTGACATTTTAAGGGTTCTTTTAGCATGAAAAATCTCGTTTCGTTTTATGTTTGTCGTGAAGTTAACAATAATTGGAGCAGGAGTATCTTTGTTTTGCTCTTTAAATTTACGACGAAAAGCGTAATCCATATCGGTATTAGAGAGAGAAACTTTTAATATATCAGATAACAAATCTGGCAGTTTATCAGCAAGATTCTCAACATCAGATTCTTTGACGCCACATATTCGTAAAGTATTTAGTTTAGATTGTTGCTCTGGACCATCAATTTTATTCTGAATAAGTTTTAAAATTTGTTGCGAAACCTTCAATTCTATTGTTTACAGGGTATCACAAACCTGGTACAATCGAGTGGATTTCATTAATTTTTCAACCAAGTTCAACTTTAAATTGATTAACAAAATTAGTGCATACCTTGGTGATGATCCTTTCAATATCGTTTTCTGTCTTGCCGCTGCCGCTTCTGGTATTAACCGGGTTATCGTTTCGACCCATGCTGCAATAACTCTCTAAAAAGGGTCAGGGGTACACTGTGATTGGTCACAGCTTTGTTCTCCTATTTTTACGAAATAGGGGGTTGTTTTACCGAAAACTGCAATTACGGAATCAAAGTTTAGATGCTCAACTCGGAACAGGAACACATCAAGCACAAATATTAAAACAAACAACACTGTAATCACAAGTTGAATGTGGAGCACGTGAACAGATGTCTACTCGCTGCGGTACAACATAATATACAAGGTGAGTTACTAAGCGCGCGGTGATCCATATCTCCTATACTAACGGAGATCGAAGAAAAAACTAAATACAAGTACTACATTCCTCAATTATTTTCCATTATACAGCGGGTGGCCCAATAAGTAGTGGTGATACAAAGTTACGTTTCTTTAAATGACTCCTCCTGTATATTATGACATATCTGGATTCTGTGGAAAATTCTAGACATATTTTATGTACAATGTCATATACCTATCTTCAACTGTTTCTAAAATATTGACAGTTCAAAATTGACTTTTTTGCATCGACAGACTGTTAAACCTAGCCGGTTGATTTTACAGAAAAACCGATTTCACATTCTTATCACAGATATTCATATAAGCTTTTTTTTTTTTTTTTTACGGATATGCGCACTCGCAAGGAAATGTCCTATCACGCTCGAGAAGCGGCAAGTGCGCGGAAATGTCGGTGTATGTTGGTCTTGAAACGGTTCAGGTTGTAACCTGCAGGAAAAACCGTCGCAGGGAGTTTATTCCACAGCGATGCTGTTCTCCAGAGATATGAATTCTGATATAATGAGGTTCTTGGTGCCTCTAGTTTGACAGTAAATTCATGGTTATCGTCTGTTTGACGGGTTCGCCTGGTAGGCGCTACTCTCGGTGGAATTATACGTGCCAACTCTTCAGAGCATTTTCCGTGATAGTACCTGTAGAAGAGAGATAAATCGCCCACAGATCTGCGATGTTCGAGACCATCCAAGTTACGAGTAAGTGCGGGGTCATTGATCAGCTTGATAGCTCGTTTTTGCACGGTGTTCAAAAGCATTAAGGTATGTTTGGGTGCTGCACTCCATATATGTGAGCAGTACTCCATAGTTGGTCGAATCTGGGCTTTGTAGAGTGTCAGCAATTGGCTTGGTGTGTACAGATGTCTTGTACGAAATAGCACCCCCAGCTTTTGGGACGCCCTTTTAGCAATATCTGCCACGTGACTGTGCCAAGACATGTTGGTCTCTGCAGTAACCCCCAAGATGTTCAACTGACTCTGTAATGTGACAGCACTTCCAGATAGCATGATGTTTAGCTCACCGGTGCTGGTCTTTTTTGAAAACAGAGCTGCTTGGATTTTCTGCGCGTTGAACTGTACAAGGTTTTTGTTACCCCAGTCCTCTATTATCTCCAGGTCGTTATTTATCTGCGATATTTGAGTTAGTCTAAGATGATGGAATTCACGTGCGGAAAGACCTGTGGGTGGTATGAGTGAGGAGACTACATTGCCATCGTCTGCAAAGCAATAAAGTGGATTTACTGTTTTATCTATGAGGTCATTTATGTAAATCAGAAAAAGAGTTGGCGAAAGGATTGCTCCCTGTGGCACACCAGCATGTATTTGGTAAGAGTTGGAGTTCTGGCCATCCAGTGCAACATAAATGGATCTGTCCTTTAGGTAACTTTCAAACCAAGTGCAAAGTTTCGGCGATAATCTCATTGCTTTGAGCTTATTGAGCAGATTTTCATGCCAAACTTTGTCGAATGCTTTAGATATATCTAAGGCAATTGTTCTTGTTTCACCTCGCAACTCAATCGCTTTTTGCCATAAGTGAGTGACGTATGTAAGTAAATCGCCAGTTGACCTATATTTTCGATATCCGTATTGCTTATCGTTGATAATTTTGTACTTTTCCAAGTACTTGGTTAGGTGATTGTTCACAACTCTTTCCATTACTTTTGATAT